GTGTGTGTGTGCGTGTGTGTTTGTGAAGGAGCAAGAGGAAATGCTCGAACGCTTGACACTCTGCAACGAAAGAAGCTGTCAAACTCGCTCACATGCACACACACCACCACACACCCACCCACACACCACCACACACACACACACACGCACACACACACCCACACGCACACACCCACACACAAGCAACCACAAGCACACAACGCAGCGCACCTGTGTCTCTGGCCAAAAGGCAGACGCAAGACACGCCGTTGCGAAGAAAAACACCCAACCAGCGTACGATGAAAGGTGCCACAGGCCAACCAAGAAGCCAAGCACGGCCATGCCTAGCAAAGTGACGTGAAATGAAAGACAAAACCGAGGTGAGTGGCTGCGAAAGACGAACGAACAAGCCCAACGCACGACATGTAAGCTCATGCCCACCCGTGCACCCACACCCACACACACACACCCGCACACACACACACACACACACACACACACACACACACACACACACACACACACACACACACACACACACACACAAAACACACACACACACACACAAAACACACACACACACACACACAACGCACGGCGCACCAAAGCAGACGATGATGGCGCGCTTTGTGGGCGACCGTTCCACAATCAACACATCTTCTTCTTCTGCTGTTGCTGCTTCGTCTTTCAGTTTCCCTACTCCAGCTCTGCTGCCTGTTTCGCTTGTCTTGCTCGTCTTCTTCTTCTTCCTTCTTGCCTGCCTTCGCACAAGCGCATAGCCAACGTCATCCATTTTGGACAATTTGTGTAAATCTTCAATCAATTATCGGTGGATCGAATGCGTTGGATGACGGTGCATTCTGCCTGTCAGGGCGGTCGTGCTGGTGGTGGCGATGGCATGCCTGGTTGGTGGTTGTGGCTGCGGCTGTCTGCAACAGCGACACAGCCGCATTCACTTTGCACACAGCCACACAAGAGACGACCACACAGACACGCACTGTTGCCATCACACCTAATTGACTGGTTGAGATCGCAAGAGAGGGAGACGGAGAGAAGGAGCCCTGAGCACGCAGAGTGTGAGTGAGTGTGTTGGTTGGAGTGTTGGAGTGTTGGAGTGTGAGTGAGTGTGTGACCCACTGCGCTCTTTGTCGCACGCACGTTTGAAGGACTACGCTCGCTGTCGCCACCATACCCGGCGTGGCCCAGGTTTGAGCTGAACAGCAACCCAGCAACAACAACAAAGTTGAAGCGAGGATGTTTCGAAGGCGCCGCAAACATGAGGCTGCCTCATCCGCAGCAGCTCACCACAACCCAGCATGCTCGTCCACGAGCCCTGCCGCTTCCGATTGTGGTGGAGGAATCAACTCCGGCATCCCAAACACCCGGCAGAACAGCAACCCACACATCTACGGCCTCATGGGCCTCGGCATTGTCCGCGTCTACCTCAGCGACGGCACATTCAAGTCAGTGCATTCTGAATGTGTGTGGGTGTGTGGGTGTGTGGGTGTGGGTGTGTGGGTGTGTGTGTGGTGGGGGTGGGTGAAGGCGTGAGTGTATGAGTGTGTGGCAGCGTGAAGGATAAAGGCTTTCGTTCATTGTTGCATGACTTGCCTTTATTGTCTCACCCACTCTCACTCACCTACCCTCACTCACTCGCGCTCCTGCAGGAGTGTCAAGGCAGACCAGATGGGCACGTGTGCAGAGGTGGTTGACTACATTGTGAAGAAGAAAAACACCCTTGGCGATCCACGGGAGTGGCGCCTCATGGTCTTCACACGTCAAGGAGGTCAGTTGCTCTTGTCTGCACAACAATGTGCTCTGTGTTTGTGTGTGTGTGTGTGTGTGTGTGTGTGTGTGTGTGTGTGTGTGTGTGTGTGTGCGTGCTCTGTGTTTGTGTGTGTGTGTGTGTGTGTGTGCGTGCTCTGTGTTTGTGTGTGTGTGTGTGTGTGTGTGTGTGTGTGTGTGTGTGTGTGTGTGTGTGTGTGTGCGCGCACGCTTGGTCTTGTGTGCGTGTGCGTGTGTACTTTTGGTGTTGTGTGTGCTTGTGCTTGTGGGGCCTGTACCTTCAAACACGCCACACTCCGATCGATTTGTACCTCACACATCCCACTGCACTCCCCCTCCCCCGCAGAGCCCGTGTTTCTTGATGACGACGAGCCCGCCATGGAGCTGCTGGAGGACGACGTCGATAAGGTGCGATGGACAAGCGTACCACGCACAACACAACGTCCATGCGCATATCTACATTCATACACATCGACACACCTTAACACAAACGCACACATCTCCATTCACACCTTCACACAAACGCACACATCTACATACTTTCTCACCCCTATTCATCCTCAACATCATTCGCCCACATGCAACGCCAACGACCTTCAGATCTTTCTGAAAAAGGCGAGCGAGCGGCGCATGTACTATGATGACGAGGAGCACTTGAAGAAACGCGCGCAGAAGCTGGAGTTCCAGCAGCTGCAGGCAAAGCGAAAGAACACGGGCGTGTATCTCAACCCGCTCTACAGCGTCGACGTCAAGCAGGACGCACCAGCAGCACCAGGTGTGTGCGTCTGTGTGTGTGTGTGTGTGTGTGCCTGTGTGCCTGTGTGTCTGTCTCTGTGTCTGTGTGTGTGTGTGGGTGTGTGTGGGTGTTAACGCGCGCGAATGAGTGAGCCATGGAGAATGTTATCGTCCCCCAATAATTGTGTCTCTCTCCATCATCAAACATGCATTACGAACTTGATACCCATTCACATATACAATCGTTCACACACGCACATGTACACACACTCACAATCACACAAAAATACTCACATGCTCACACGCGCTCATGTACACAAACACACAATCACACAAAAACACTCACATGCACACGCAACATCACCCGCGTCGCAGCGCCACCGCCGCCCCTGCCGCCAAACCGTGGCTCCGTGACCTCGCTCGAGCTTCGACTGGACGACGAGGGCGTCTTTGATTACGAAAACAGCACCAACGTGGACGAAGACGAGCCGTGTCCTCCGTGGGACGTCGAGCCTGCCGGGCCCTGGGTCGCCGACGATGAAATCGCTCCAGGCGCCCTCATCCCAATGGCTTCAAAGGTACGCTGGTGGGGCATTTGCCCAGCGATGTTCCTGCCGTGTCCTCCACACACGGTCTGCTGCACGTGTTTCGGCCTTGCTGATTTGATGCAACACTCCGCCCGCCCAAGTTGCTGCTTACACAACCAACCTACCAACCAACCAACCCCCTCCCCCTCCTCTCAACACACACACGCACCACTTACCAACCTCCCCCCAAACCAACAGGCATTTTGGCGCAAGAAAGGCGACAAGGAAGGTCGGCGACAGAGCAAGCTGCACAGTGGACGTGGCAGCCGAATGTATGACAGCGACAGCCCCCATGATGGCCACAATGATCATGACGACGACGACGACGATGATGATGGTGCCGATGATGATCACGAGTACGTGGACACGGACGATGAAGGAGATGAGGATGAGGACGCCGTGTTGCAGCAGCAGTTGCGAACAGCGAGACGAGCAATGGCCAGGAGCAACGACAAGCCGGCGCGACGCCAAACACTTCAGGCAAAACACATGCCTGCACTGGGTACGATACAACTGCATGCACTGTGCACGCTGAGACAGAAGAAGCGATGGGGCTTGGCTCACTCGTGGGCTCTTGCTTGGAACCCAGTCTCCCTTTCTTTTTCGAATGAGAATTGCCTCCATGCATACGCTCACATTTCACTCACATCCACGTTCGCAAGCGTACATCCACACCACATACACTCTCTCACCCACATTCACACGCAAGCACTCACTCGTATCCACACACTCACTCACATCCACATCCACATACACGCACACACACACTCTCTCTCATTCATTCTCTTATTCGCTTCAATTGCGTCATTCTCCCATTCAACCTCACTTGCCCATCACTTTTGTTCATGCATCCCGCCCCACATTCACAACAGCTCGCCAATCCTCGCTGGAAGCGGTGCGCGCACCACCTCCGCCGCCGCCGGCATCCAACGGCAACAGCAACGACAACGACAGCATTGGCAGTGCCACCAGCAGCGTGGCGGCGTCACGCAAGGGCAGCGAGGCGCAGGAGGGCGGGAAGCCGAGACGACGGTCGTCGTTCGGATGGCTCTCACGGCTGCGGGACAAGAGCAAGGAACGCATTCGTACCAGCAGCGATGCCGGCACAAGCAAGGCGGCAGAGAAGAAGCTCAACAAGCGCGTGAAGAACTTGCTGAAGCACGCACCGCTCGTGGAAGAGGCCGGTGAGGAGGATGGCGACAGCAAGAAACACACGGCCAAGCACAAGGGTATGCGTGATCGCTCAGACACCGTTGCGAAGAGCACCATCGCCACGGCATCTGCAACACCAACCACCGCTGCACCAGCATCGTCATCGTTGTCGGCGGCAACGGCACCAGAGGCACCACGGGCACCACGGGCACCAGCAGAGAGCACCATTGTGACTGGCTTCTCGAAGAAGCTGAAGGATAAGAACACGGTGAGCAAACGACGTCGCCGTGCACCGCCGCCACCACCCATGCAGAAGCCATCAGCGGTAGCCCGCAAGGACGACGATAACGATGGTGATGACAACAGCGCTGGGGACGCAAAACAGCAGCAACCAAGCGATGGCCATAAACGACAGCATGGAGATAACACGAGCGTTAAGGAGCAGACAAGTGTAAGCTCGTCAGCGACCAGCGGCATTGCATCAGCGGCACCACTGTCTCCGCTCACACCAATACCACAGACACAAGCACCGCCACCTCCGCCGCCGCCGCCGCCGCCACCGGCATCGCAAGCAACCAGCACAACACCAGCAACATCAACAACATCCACACCTCCACCGCCACCGCCACCGCCACCTGCGGCCATGGCATCGGTGACCTCGCCAACCACCACAACAAAGCCAGCAGCAACCGCAAGTGCAGGCACCGCACCGCCACCGCCACCGCCACCGCCACCGCCACCGCCACCAGCACCACCAGCACCACCAGCAACAACAAGTGCATCAACTCCGACAGGTGGTCCAGCACCACCGCCGCCACCACCGCCGCCACCGGCTCCATCACAGCAGCCACAGCAACCACAGCAGCCACAGCAGCCAAGCAACACAACATCGCCAGCGCCGTCACCATCAGCAAGCGGTGGGTTGGCTGCAGCCCTCCAGGGAGCAAAACTGAAGCCAGCCAACCAATCCACACCCTCGGAAGGTAAGCCGACACACGTGTATGTATTTATTGTGGCTTTCTCCTTCGTGTACACATCTTTCGCCTCCCTTTTCTCAACCGCAGCCCAATTCTCTCTGTCTCCCTGCCTTCTTTCTTGCTTCTTCTTTGTTCGCTCACTCCTTCACTCGCCCTCGCTTTATTTGCACATGTTTGTTCGCTCTCCGCCGCCAGTGTCCAAAGCGCCACCACCACCAGCAGCAGCATCAGGCAACAGCATTGCTGCTGCAGTGGCAGCGGCAGCAAACAAGCGCAGAGCAAGCATGGCCCCATCCTCAGCCCCGGCATCAACACGGCCACCTGCTGCACCTGCTGCTCCCACGCCGCCACCTGCACCCAAGGCCCAACCCACTCCATCGCTTCCCAAGGCCACCGCAACATTGGCGGCGCCACCACCACCACCACCTCCTCCCCCACCAGCAGCACCGCCAGCATCGTCAGCATCGCAACAGCCCTCTGCCCCACTCCCACCTCCTCCTCCACCATCAGCATTGTCAGTGCAGGCACCAAAGACAGCTGTATCAGCGCCACCACCTCCCCCACCACCTCCTTTTCCCCAAGCATCATCAGCAACACCAACCAAGCAGCAGCAGCAACCACCACCGCCACCACCACCTCCTCCTCCTCCCTCGACATCCCAAACCACCGCCACTGCACCGCCACCGCCTCCTCCGCCGCCAGGCCCACTCGGCAGCAGCACAGAAGACAGCAACAACAACGGAGGAAGGAACGGTGCACTGCTGGCGGCGCTCAAGGGCGCGAAGCTGAAGAAGGCGGAACCGTCATCATCAACATCGTCATCATCGCCACAGAACAGCAGCGGCGATGGGGACGGGCGAGCAGATTTGCTCAGTGCAATTCAAGGTGGCGTCAAGCTGCGAAAGGCTGCGGACAGAGCGCCGAGCCCAAAAGGTGTGCCCACGTGGCGTGTTACTGCATGTACCGTCTGTTTTCTTTGGATGTTTGCATTCGTGTTGATAGAGTGACTCGGTACTTGCGGCGAGAGCGTGACTTTAGCTTTTGACTTGCACTCGTGTGCTTTGTGTCCTTTGGTCAGTGCGCTGCTGTGTCTGTCTGTCTGTCTTTTTTTTTTTTTGGATGTCAGTGCTTGCTGCACCTCATACACGACCTCACTCCCACACATGATCTCACGCTTGCTCTTCCACATGCTCATCCTTCCCCAACGCTTACCTGTCAATGCGACCACCACCGTCAGCTGCTGCCCGCAAAGAGCCGATGGATATGATGAGCGAGCTGCGAATGCGACAAAACCGACGACGACAGACGATGACAGACACGCCATCAAAATCACCGCCGCCGCCACCTACTGCATCACAGGACGAGCCGGTTGACCAAGGAAAGGATGGTGAAGACACATCATCATCATCATCATCACCATCATCATCAACAACATCGCCACCCCTGCCGCCACCGCCACCGCCCGCTGTGATGAACAAGCCGGCAAACTCGGCAGTAAAGCAGCCACCACCTCCTCCCGCGCCCAAACCAACATCGCCCAAACCAACACAGCAGGGTGACACGGGTGGTGCGAAGCCATCAGTGCAGGCGCTGATTGCTGCTCGCAAGAAGGCAAAGGCGGAGGAGGCCGCGGCGAAAGATCGCCAGGCGCAGGCAGATGAGGCCGCCAAGTGGGCAGGCGTCCCAGAGTGGAAGAAGAAGATTCTCATGGCAAAGGTGTGTAGCGTCGTCCTGTGTGTGTGTGTGTGTGTGTGTGTGTGTGTGTGTGTGTGTGTGTGTGTGTGTGTGTGTACCGTGTATGCGCACTGTATGTGAGCTTGGCGCCAGTTTGCTGTTGGTGCTGTCAATTCCACGTTTTCATGGCGGTTTCGAACTCTCACCTGTGCCTTCCAACCAACCCAATCGTGCCTGTGTTCCTGCGTGTGTGTTCGCAGGAGGAGAAGCGAAAAGCAGCAATGGCGCCGATGTTGAAGAAGAAAGAGGAAGAAGAGAAGCGACACCAGGAGATGGCAAACATGCCAGAGTGGAAGCGGAAACTCGTTGAGAAGAAAATGGGCATGTGACGGGTGTATGAGGTTGCCTGTCTGTGTGTGTGTGTGTGTGTGTGTGTGTGTGTGTGTGTGTGTGTGTGTGTGTGTGTGTGTGTGTGTGTGTGTGTGATGAATGTACGAGTGAGCCTGTGTAGTGTGTGTTGTGTTGTGTTGTCTTGTGTTGTGTTGTGTTTGGAGAGGGTGTGTTTGAGCGCGTGTGCCGACGTCCCTGTGTTTGTCCCAACCACGCTTTGTTTGGTTGAAGTTGTGTTCGTTGTAGCTTAATCACCTTTGGCTACTGGTTATTTGGTGGCAAGGCCCCTTTCTCTTCCTTTGTTTTGCGGGCCGCCGCTCTTATTCTTCCTTGCTTGCGTGTGAACACACGCTACTCTTTGCCTGCCATGTGTTTGTTTTTGGGTGTATTGCTGTTCTTAACGCTTACGAGCATCCGCTTAACACATGCCCGCACACGCACGGTCTGGTATGTAAACGCGCATAAACCAACAAACACACACGTCACGTCATCTCGCTGCTGTTCTAGGAACATATTATGTACATGATTCACACGCGCTCACACTGACAACAAACGCATGCACTAAAACGTGTACAGCATGCGCCCACGCACCACGCTATCCTCTCCCCTATCAACAACACCCCACACACACACACACCACAACACATGTCGTCAACGCACAGGTCACCGCCACCAGCGTCACTGCGCAAGTGTGATTGATCCGTCCTTGTGGTACACGCGGCGGCGAGGCGCTCGCGTCAGCATCACCTTCAAGTTGTGCCACACGCCCTTGTTAAAGGGATTCACAAACTCTGCAATCAGGTGCGTGTTGGGAGATGGGGAGAGGGTGATGGGAGGGTGCGTGAAGATGAGATGGAGTACGTTTTGTATGTGTGTGTGTGTGAATCTATCGAAGAACAAGGCGAACAGCACCGCAATACGACTCCACATATCGAAAGCAACGACTCACGGGCGCCCTTGCGTGTCTGCTTGACAAAGTGGTCGTATTTGCTGCGGTTGATGTACTCGTTTGTCGTCATGTTTGTTGTCACCATCTTCGTATGCTCGTACACCAAAATGCCAGCAAACACCAGCCCTGGAACCACAATTGATGGGGGTGTGAGGTGAGCAGGGTGTCGAGCGAGACAAATGGTGGGTAGACAGGCGACAAACAAACAGCAGTGCACGTACACAGGCGACAAACAAACAGCAGTGCACGAGATTTAAAACAACCAATCATCAACCACACACACACACACGCACACACACACACGCACACACACATACACGCACGCACACACACACAAACACACCAGGCATCCTCTGCCACGCAACTCCTGTGTACACATGTGCGACGTGCTCACCAAATGTGTTGACGGCGAGAGACGCGAGGAAGAGGAGGACGAGGAGCGGCGATTGCAGTGCTGATTCTTGACGCTGGGCCTGAGGAAGATGGACGGGTTTGACGCGTATTGGGTGAAGACATGATACGTGAGTGCGCGAGATGAGAGGGATCGTGTGTATCACCCTTGCGAGGAACAGTCGTGACTCATCCTATATTCACACACACATGCATATACACACACTGACACACACGCACGCTGACACAATCACAATCACACACACACTGACACACACACTGACACACACGCACGCTGACACAATCACAATCACAGCCGCACCTGGATGCACATGTGGAGGAAGAGGAGGTGGCCCAGGAGTTCGATGTAGACGTGGAGCACAAAGTTTGGATAGTTGTCCTCTGCTACCACGCCCCCAATCCACCCGCAAAAGTGGTCGAAGCGATAGAAGCACGCGTTGGTCACAGCATCGTGCTTGGAGCGCAGCGGCTGATAGCGGTGGCGGCGGTGGTGGTGTACGTAGTGATGCATGGATGGATGGACGGATGGATGGATAGAAGTGAGCGCAGACACGAGTGGGATGAATTGTGACACCGGCATACGTATCCACGTTCGCATAGACACCCATGCCTCGCACGCTTGTATCGAATCCCTCGTGGATGTGCGTGTGTGTGTTTGTGTGTGTGTGTGTGTGTGTGTGTGTGTGTGTGTGTGTGTGTGTGTGTGTGTGTGTGTGTGTGTGTGTTTTGTGTGTGTGTGTGTGTGTGTGTGTGTGTGCTTTGTGTGTGTTGTGTAGACACCTTGATGATCTTGCATGTGTAGCAGATGTCGCCAGAGTCGAGGTGCGCCCCCTTCTCCAGCACGGCTTTGCGCAGTCGGTGCTGCGCTGCATGCGTTGTTGCCGTGCCAGGATCAATCTGAAGCAGCAGTGGTGGCGACAGCGGTGGTGGTGGTCGTGTCAGAGTGTCGGAGACGTGGACCGTCGAAGTAGCAGCAGTGGTGGAAGTTGTTGATGGTGGTCAGGAAAGGAACAAGCAAAGAAATACAGGGAGGTGCAGACGAGCGACGAAACACAAGAGAACAAGTACACAAGCACACACACACACACACCCATACACGCATACACACACTTGCTCATGCACGCATGCCACGCTCTTCTGGTACCTTGATCATGTAGAGCCAGTTAGCGAGCCAGGTGACGAGGAGGAACGCAGCAAAGTAGTGGTACGACGGCGTGAGCGATTCCCTGAACAGCATGACGTGCACACATGCAGTGGAGAGGAATGAGTCATCAAGTTGTCCCTCAACATCAATCACACTGCAACGACCGCAGCAAGTGGTATTTCACCTGCAACCACGCGAGCGAGCGTGTAGACAGTGAACCCAACACCCAACACCCAACACCCGACAGCCGACAGCCAACACGAGTCGACAAGAAGCAGCACGCAGGTGGTGGTCAGACCAAGTGACGGGGAGGAGGTATGCAAGCCAAAGGCCAGCACAGAGTGCAACGGCAGTGATGTAGAAGCGGGGAAAGCGCTTGGGATATGCGCGGGGATTGAGGGCAGAGGGCGCACGGGCTGCAGACTTGATCTTCCTCACAACATCCTCGTGGTGCATCTCCTGTTGATCGTTGGGGAGGGAGGGTTGTGTGTGAGAGAGATTGTGTGTGTGTGTGTGTGTGTGTGTGTGTGTGTGTGTGTGTGTGTGTGTGTGGATAAGAAGGGTGCCACAGAGAGAGAGAGAGAGAGAGAGAGAGAGAGAGAGAGAGAGAGAGAGAGAGAGAGAGAGAGAGAGAGCCATTGTGTATGTGTGTGTGTGTGCGTGTGTGGCATGGTGGCGAGCACGTGCGATGCAACGACAGTTCTCGCACACCTTTGCAATGTCGAGCGGGGAGAGGTTGTCTGCGTTGAGGACGTGACGCTTCACGCCGTATTTGTTGAACGGCCAATCCAGCAGGCAGGCGACAAACTTGTGCTGGCCCCTGAGGGGAGTTGGGGAATGCAGCACAAAGACAGTCATGGTGAGGTGAAGTGACCGAAACACAATCAGAAGAAATCAGGTGGATGAGACGAGTACACATGTTCGCACACACACACACACACATGTCCATGAATGTTCGCACGCACACGCGCGCATGCACATGCACATGCACATATGCAAATACACGCACGCACGCACCGCTGTGCAGCCCTGTGTAGAGGCGTCATGCCTTTGCTGTCTGTGTTGTTCACATCTGCGCCGGATCCCTGAGAACAACAGTGTTGGAGGCGATGGAGATGATGACAGAACAGCGTGCGCGAGTGTGTGTGTGAGTGTGTGTGTGTGAGTGTGTGCGCGCGCGAAATAATCCCTTCCCTGACGCACAGGCAAGTGTGAAGCGAGGCATCAATGGGCCCCAACACACGCCAGCATGTTCCCACAGGCGGTGCGCTCACGGCGAGGAGGAAGAGAAAGTCGGCGTCGCCGAGAAAAGCGGCCCACGCCAACGGGCCAGCCCCGCTCTTGTCTGCTGCGTTGGGATCCACCCCACGATACAGCAGGAACAACGCAGCCAACTTGTTCACGCCCTGCAGAGGTGGTGTAAGATTGGGCGGTGGGTGCAGTGGCGAGTACGAGCAGCACGCCGTCAGCAAAAAATAATTGATTGATATGTGCTTGCAACCTGTGTTCGCACACACACGCGCGCGCGCGCGCAGCAAGCAGGCAGTACACGCACACAAATAGAACCTGCACTGGTCTCAAACATACACACATACACACACATGTACGCACGCACGTGCGCCCTCTTGCACTCACGCCGTCCACGAAACCATGCACACGCACGCGGTGTACCTGAATGGCAAGGATGAGCGTGGTGAGACCGTTGGTGTCGGTATCATGGACGCCTTCAGGATACACTGCAGTGAGGGCCCGCAGGAAGTGCAGCGTGTATGCTGTTTCCCCTGCCAATACAACGCAGCGCGGGTGCGTTGTGTTGAGAAGCAAAAAAAGGCACACAGTCAAGCCACAAAGATTCCGACAAAGGCAACCTGCACAAACCCATTCAACGCACAGCAGACGCCGCCACTTGCACGACCAAGGACAAACGCAAGGTGCAGAGAGGCCTATACGCTGTACGCCCTCTTCCTGCTGCTTACCACGAACGCAGGCCCACATGAGCGGGGTGTGCCCCTCCTTTGTGACTGCGCGTGCCACGTCCGGCGCTACTTTCAGCAAACACTACACGGTTCCACCACACCAGCGATTGTTACTCTCGGTAAGTATGTCGGAGTTCATGACGGCCAGCAAGATGGCAGTGGACGGAGACTGCTTGCGATCGCAGAGAGTGTTGTTGGGCTGAACAGACCTCAAAGGCTTCGACGTTACTGAACCAGATGGCCCAGTGCAACGCCGTTGCACCATGCTCATCCCTTTGCCGTGCTTCCCTGTGAACGTGTTAATGGAGAGTATCGAGGGCGAGGCGACCCATGTGGCTCTGTGAGTGTTTGGTTTTGTTGGCGGTGAGGTGGGGGGATGGCGGGCCGAACAACAACACAAACGATGGGATCGCATGCACATAGGCCACCAGGCCGTTGTGGAACTAACTCACTCTGCGCTGCAGGTTCTCCAGGGATCGGGGGATGCGATGCCACTGCTACTTTCCAAACCAGCCTGTGCCATGAGCGCTGCCATCAAGGGTGTCGTCGTTTCAGCCGTGGCAGCCATTGCAGTCGTGACAGCAACACCACCACCACTGCCAGCACCTGTGGCGGAGCCAATGCCGCCGCCACCTGTGGTGCTGCTGTTCTGCATGCTTCCACCACCCACAACACCGCCACTCATCATCGTGCGGAGAAAATGGGAAACTGACTTCAGTCTTCACTGCTTGGCGGGAAGAATTTGAACTGGTTTCGTTTTCGTTTGGCGGGAAGCGGTGTGTTCAAACATCTCTTGCTTGGAGTGCAATCGAGTGTCCTTGTCAAGGTCAACACTGAACTGCAACAGGGTCATAGGGTACCAGCTCAGCGCGGGCTCTGTGCATGTGTGTGTGTGTTTACCCTTCCACCTCGCTGATCAAGCCAATAGGCAGCACAAATCAGAAAACAGTGGCATCATTCATGACATAACATTATGGCGGGAAAACAAACAACACCACTTGCATGTTTTGTGTGTGTGTGTGTGTGTGTGTGTGTGTGTGTGTGTGTGTGTGTGTGTGTGTGTGTGTGTGTGTGTGTGTGTGTGTGTGTGTGTGTGTGTGTGTGTGTGTGTGTGTGTGTGTGTGCAGTTCATGTCCGACATCGGCGTACGCAATCCATTGCTTGCAAAACCACATCTCATAGCGTGTCCCGCGAGCCAACATGCAACGTACTGTCCAGATACTTTGCTGTGAGTACGTTATGGTGGTGCCTAATCCACGTGCCCTTGCTGCTTTGTTGGCGGCAAGTTCATTTTTTCCTTTTCCCATCCTTACACACGACGTCCACCAACACTTCCACACCATTCTCTTCCCCATCCCCCGACCGTGCACCACGACAGTTCTCCGCGTCCCTGACCTTTTGTCTCCACACCCAGGATGCCTCCGCTTCGTC